ACTGGCACCAGAGAGCAGGAGGAACAAAATTCTCTCTGCAGACTGAGATGTTCTAACATTTGGTGGGACCATCATCTCTCCTGGAGATGTTTCTTTTTCTGGTGTCTGAAACTGTCATATAAATGTATAACCTTTACTGAAACGTAATGATTCTGTCCAATCAGGTTCTCATTTGATGCATGAAAAGAAAAAGGTGTAGATTCATCTGAAGCTGGTGCTTCAGGGCTTTGACTAGAATAGCCTGGAATAGAATTTTGTCTTTGGGTTTTATTTTTATTTTTCCCTCTTTTTTTATTATTTTTCTCCAAAACAGCATGATACACCATGGAAAAAGCACGGCAAGGAATTTTATGATCAACTGTCAAAAAATCCTTAATTTCTTTGACAAAACATCACCTGCAGTGACCCACTGCTAACTGATGCACCTTCTAATTATAGTCCAGACATTCAGCCGTTGATGACACTTCTTTTCAAATCAGTCAAGATAAAAATGAACGTAATATCAGGTTCTTTAAAGAAAGAAACTGTCAGTATGTCAGAACGGTTGGAATAAACCCATTAGATCAAAGCAGTTGTCATGTCGGCACAAAATCATAAAATCTATTACATTTTTTGAACAAAGGAAGTAAAACCTAATTAACAAATAATTACGTTGGGGTTTTTTTGCTTAATAAAAAAATAAAACAATAATTTAATTTTTTTTAAAGTAATCAGTTTTTGGTTTGGAAAGGGATATTTTAATAACTGTAGATTCAAACTTAAAGAATAATTTAGCTATTTTTTCTTATGGGAAAAATATTGGAGTAGGGGGCAGAAAATGGAGTCTATTTTCGGCATTAAGAAAAGGATCCGTATTACTCTTTTTTTGAAAACCTTCCTGTGTTTATCCACGTTTAAAGGGGTCTAGACACGTATAACTATCTATTAAATTGTCGTGCACTCTTGCTTTCTATTTTATCTCTGTGATTTACGTTATCTTTATTCATTTATAAATCTAGATTTAGAGGTACAATCAGGAATTTAGTAAAAGGTTCAAATTCAGTCATCCTGCTCTGCTGTTTTTCATCATCATCATTGATAACCAAGCTGTGTCTCCTCTGTCCTAACAATCATCACTGTTTCCGTTCTCTTTTTGCTTCATTTCATTGGATTTCTTACATGGCTTTATAAAAAAAAAAATAGTTTGTGGAATAAATTTTAATAAATTTTGCTGTTGGGCAAAAGGGAAATGAATCTCTATTTCTGTATTATTTGACCCCATAGATGTGTTCTGTTTCAACTCATCACAGAGGTCAGGATAGTTATCTTTCTCTGAATAGTTTCTACCTCTGAAAATAGAAGTTAAAGCCATCTCTAGGCGCTTATTGGTGCTAAATAGGATGCTTCATGCAGTGTTTGTGAGGTCTGAATATATAAATGGAAGGTACTCGATGTGCTGGAGAATGAGAGCCAAGCCTGCATAAGCACTCTTACCTTTGACCTTTTAGCCTTGGGTTGCATTTCCCTGAAGGAGGGAAAATACTGAGCTTGTTCCTCCTCTGCAGCTCCAGGCTCGTATGTAGGCCACGTTCTTGTGTGCTGATCTGTTCTTCCTCTCCCTGTGTGGTTGGTTGGAGAACAGTGATGTCATTTTGCAGTCCTGTTGTCATTCTGTGAAAGACGCTCCTTCTGTTGTTTCCCTGTCCTCTCTCCTGCAGAAGGAGCTCACATCAATTAATGGTGGGAACACTCACCTGTCCTGGTTTCTAAGACCCACCTTTATGTTGGATCCTTATAATAGTAGAGAATAAGTCAAAGAATTGTGTTTTAGGTTTATTTTATGGAAGAAATGAACTGACCATATTGCAATAAAATGTGTTAGTGCCAACAGGGTGAAAAAAATGACATAAAAAGAACTAATGCTGCAGAAGCTTTAGAAATGTAGCTTCCATTATGTTATAATGGAGATTAGAAAACCCAGGTGGATATTTCTTTAGATAGAAAAAACAGAGATTAATGTGTTTTTATCTTTCTAATAACTGGCAACAACTTATAAAGGAAATCCGACAAATAAAGGAATTGCACTGAACCATTCTCACTGGTTTATTGATTTAACAATCTCTAAGATCATTTGTTCCCTTTATTATTTACTATGTGTTTTGTGAAAGCAAAGTTTTAAGTGACAGATCTATTTTTTTTTTTAGCTCACTCCCAATCTCCAATTTTGCCAGTGCCAACTTGAATTAATCTTTTAGAATTTCAAATTAATGTAAGCATTTAAAAAGTTTAATTTATACCTTTCCTTCTTCAAACAATCAATACTTATTTCTATTTGAAGCAGATTATATCCAGAGATCAGACTTTAGCCTGGCTTTTAGGGCTGCCACTCACCATTAGTTCATTACCCTTTTACAATTTTGGAATAATTACACCTTTAAGTACAATGCTTTATCAACTAAAGGCATTTTTACAGTCTCTGCACTCCAGTTAATTTTTAATCAATTATTAAATTAGTTGTTGATTGTTTCAATAATAGATTAAACATGATTAATCCAATTATTTGTTTCATCTCTATTGACTTTGGCATCCTTTAGCGGTAGTTAGCTCTGCTAACTTCACGTAAGCAGTCATTTCCATATCAATAGTCATAAGAAAAAAGATCTTTAACTTGTCATTAGATCTTAAAATATCAAAATTTGGATGTTTAATGTCAAAAAAGGGGTTTATAGCTCACAGAGCAGCTGTATTTTATTCCTCTCAGCCTTCCTGTTATCTGCTGGAGTCCCGCTCTTTCTCTCAGCATGAATGAGATACAGACGTGGGTCACCAGCTGCCTTTATCTCTGGACTTCCTCTCACCTCATTTTAAGGACCTCACTGATGCCGAAAATGTTTAACATGGGGTCTGTTTCATTGTATAGCCCCATTTACAGTACTATTTTGAAACTGTGCCGAGATCGTACGAGCACGGTAACCAAGATAACTGTTTAGTGTAAATGGCATGCAAAACTGAACCGAACCGCACCAAACTGGTACTAATTCTTCAGTAGGGCGTTCAGTTGATGCTCGGTTCTCTGATAACAAAGATTGCATGAGCAGACCGCATCATTTCCTTCCAGTCAGCCTCCGTAATCATGAAATTTCAGATATTAATACAAATGCTAGCTTCCCTACCGTCCCACACGATTTCCATGCTATCATGGTGTTTCGATGGTCGAAAGGAGCCGAACTCGGGGATTTTAACTGATCCAAGCTCGGTCTGTACGGATCCCTTTTAGAGGGTAGTGTAAATGGGGCTTATGATAGCAGCCATACCTATAATTGGTAGATGATGTGTTCCCTGACCAAAGAATGATTGTATTTTTGCATTTAATTTTGGCTGATCGATCAGCGCAAATCAAGCCGAAGTCAGTTCATTCACCAGTCCAAAGCCTTCAAATTTATATTGTTGAATAACAGTCATGTCTAATTATTTGTACATTTCTAGAAACTCGGCCAACTTGTATAGTTTAGCACGATTGCCAAGATATTTCAGTTACATTCATTTTATAGATGTTTCTAGAGATGCCAGCAATTATATCAACAGTGATTTATTTATTTTTCTACATTTATATTTAGAGTGGGATTTCATAACAACCAAATAAACGCCCTCAACTTAAAGGTTGGATTTTTCCCACTATCTATCCTGATATTGCAATAACAGAAAACATAGTGCTGAATTTCAGCTATAATCATTTCAATATTATTTTAAACAAACTAAAAGCCACACAAAGGATGTCATGAAATAAGTCCTGTACCAATTTATGACAACTATTTTGCGATGTTATTAACAAATTTTAATAGAGTATTTTAGAAATATCCGTTTTAAAAAACAAAGCATTCAACCCTGGATGTTGGTCAGTGGCAAATACTGCAATCATTTGATTGTGATGTTTGTTGAAATATAAGAAATGNTTATTATAAGGTCCTTTAAACATCTTTACTCTGGAAATTTTTAACATAATTACTACTTTTCAATGGTTTATTTTCTGTATTTTTTAGGGCTGAAACAATTGATTATTGAACTAATTGTCAATCAATTTAGAAATCGATTATTCGTTAACTGGAGTATAGAGACTCTAAAATATGCGTTTAGCAGATAGAGCAACCCACTTAGAGAAGTAATTATACAAAGATTGTAAAAAGATATATAAAATTTTACATTTTGTAAAAGAATAACTTTACCATCTGTCAATATGCTTAATCCTGAACTCCTTAAGTGGAAAAGTTTGAGTTTTACCTGGTTTATTTTTGTAAAAATTGTAATGTAAGGAACCTTTGACTATCAGATTATTGCTCGTTAAAATAGAAAAAAATAATCAGATTAAACAATTTGCGAAATAACCGTTAGTTGCAGCCCTAGTAATTTGTTTAATTCTATTTTAAGGTTTCCTCTTTTTAAAAACCCTCTTGACACTCAACCATTTCAGTCTAATAGATTTATTTTGGAAGCAACTGATTCTTAAAAAATCTAAAATACTTTCTCACTGCATAATTCCCAGTAAAACGTAAAAAAAAAAAGAAGGTTTATGTTCTAGTCAGATTAACTTTACGGTTCCTGTGTAAACATCAGCATCAAATAAACCATCTAAGGTTTTTAGCTTCCCCTATTTTTAACTGATTGTTATTTTTGGACAGCACTGGTCTAGTTAGTATTTTCTTTGCAGATCCTTGGATCCAGTCTGTCCAGTTAGTCTCCTGCACGGCGGGGTATGGCTGAGTGTTGGAAAATTTCGATTTTTTCTTTCCTCTCTTGTATCCAGATTAAGTTTCAACACCAGACTTTCCACTTCATGCAGCACAAAACTGATCTCAACAGCAACAGTTCAGACTCCGAGTATTTACAGCTGGATTCATAATAATAATAATCATAGTTTGTGCTTTTAGCTACTATGTTAAGTTTAAAACAAAGTGCTGTGCATGTACCTATCATATGCATCATTGACAGCATTAAAGATGAAGTGCTTTTTTTTATGTTGACAGGAAGAAGTCCTTTCTTTTTTCGGCGCTCTACGCTGCCTGCATCCTGGGCGGCCGCCATGTCATGAAACAAAGGGAAAAGTTTGAGCTGAGGAAACCTCTGGTGCTTTGGTCTCTCACACTCGCTGTGTTCAGGTAAGATGATGATGGGTTTTTGGATTGGGGTTTTAGGCAATGGGTCAACACATGAGTCAGCAAAACTGTAAAGAAGTTAAAGGAAAAAAAAAACATGGTTTTTAAAATGTCTTACAAATAAAAACCTTAAAGCTATGACTGCGTCATTCACTCTAATACTAATGGTGGTTTTAGAGGTTCTCTAGAGAACATCAGCATCATAATGACCAAGAAGGTCGAGGGGGGAAGGGTGTAGTTAATCTGAAGGATTTTCATGGATTAGAATGGCCTAGTTAAAGTCTATATCAAGCTAGAATCAAGTTTCAAAACTGTGGAAACCCTTGAAATTCACAGATTAGAAACTGCTACTTTACCTGAGTTTTTTGTTCTACAAGAAAGAATGAGAAATTTCAAAACCTCCAGGCTCTATGATTCTCTGATTGGAGAAATTCAATTTAGACATTTAGAAAAAGCTGCTTTCTGTCAACAAGATTATACCCCCTTTGGTTGTTGGTCACGATTACAACAAAACCTTCTTTTAATAGGAAAATGCTAAAAGACTCATTTTTGTACTTGTGGATTTCCTCTTTGGTCCTGGCAAATGGATGCCGCACATTTACGATTCTGAACCGTTTTAAAGCACGTGAAAATTGTTTCCTTTTTATTCTGTGTCATGATTATCCACAGTTTTTTTTCTGCAGTTCGTTTCTAAGACTTCATACAATATCATAAATTTGTATTACAAGTATTTATAAAAAAAAAGCTCAAGCGGTCAAAACATTATTAGTCAATAACTTTGCTGCCAGGTACTGTAGGCTCTATGTGTTAACTGCAAAACCTGATCCAAAGATACGTAAAAATGTCATAAAATAATTTAAATAGGTAAATACGGCACTTTACCAATAAAATAAGCACCTGAAATAAGATAATGATGATTTTTTTCCCCCTTGTTTTAAACATAAATCATCCTATTCCAATAGGGATCATTTACACACATGCTCAAATTAAGGGAAAATATATATATATGAAGAGAAATTGGCTTACTAAGATTTAAATTTTTGCAACAAGGCACAGCTCCTTTTATCTGCTACCTAGCAACATGCAGAAGTATGATCCTGTGGGCGGAGCCTCCTCAGTCTAACTAACCTGTAGGGTTTGATTTTCCACAATAATCTCATCCTCTCCCTGTTCATCCATCCCTCCTCTCCCAGTATCTTTGGTGCAATCCGGACCGGGAGCTACATGACGTTCATCCTGATGACCAAAGGGCTGAAACAGTCGGTCTGTGACCAGAGCTTCTACAACGGGCCAGTCAGCAAGTTCTGGGCTTACGCCTTCGTTCTCAGTAAAGCACCTGAACTGGGTGAGTGCAGACGTGTTGATCACATGTTGGGAGATGAAGGTTCTGATTAGCAAACTGGAACATGTCACGACTTACACTGATTCTCTGAGACTGCTTACATAACCCTGTGTGGGTTATAAAAATGAATGGCATGCAGCAGCAGCATTAGTTCATCTCTTCTTATTTTGGCTGCGCTCCACCATGATTTATTTGAATCTGCTCATATCAGCTCATCTAGTGGTACTACATCCTGAGGGACTTTTTCTTTCCTTTTTTTGAAGTTATAAATCACCTGATGCTAAAAATCACACCTTGGTTATTCACCTTTTTTAGCACCTTTTTGCATCTTTGCAAGAGATCATTCCAGTCTCAGATTCCTATGTATCAAAAACCTTTGTTGTTAGTGTGAGCCACCACAAAGTTTCTTTTCAGACTCTTAATTATAATTAAAATGTTTTTCAGAGGAATAAGCATCAATAAATGTCTTAAGAAACTTCTTAAAAGATTCAAAAATTTGTAAAAATGGAGCCCTTATAGGGGCTGACAAACATCCATAAGGATAAGGAGGAAATGTACTCTGCTCTCCGCTCAATCATTGGTTGAGACACCAATAGCTCCTTGATATGTTAACTGAATGTGCTCATCCTTTACAGATGCTGAAAGACTTTGGAGCTGAAAAATGTATTTCTTTTTGTACATTTTTTTTTTTCATCTGTTCTCCGTTAAGTTTTTATTTTCCAGTAAAATTGGTCACACACCCGTCTATCTGCCTTCTAATAATCCTTATCCTTAGAAACACTAGTTAAGCTAATTTTGATGTCTGTGAACTGTTGGAGGAAGCTGGAGTGCCCAGAGAGACCAAACACATCAGTTATTATTGGAATAATTGATATTCTGAAATTAAAAAAATATCTATATTTACATCTCAGGTTTTACAAATCAGACGGTGTTAGAAAAAATCTGAAATCACTGCTGATCTGGAGGCTTAATGTGCAACAATTAATTTATCCCATCTTACCTAAGTATTTACACCCTTTGTACTTGTCAAGTTATATTAAAGCCACAAACTTTTGGGTATTTCAATGTGATTTTAAGTGATAGACCAACACAGAGGGGTTCCAAATTGAAACAATGAAAAAAAGAAAGGTGGAATTTTGTTCCACTTTCCTTTTAAATATAAATATCATGGGATATATAAAAAATATTATTTTAATTGTAATAGGGCTAAAACAATCAATTATTGAAATAATGTAATTATCTAACTTATTTAGTAATCGATTAATCGTTAACTGGAGTATAGAGACTGTAAAACATGCCTGAAAGAGCAACCCACTTAGGGCAGGAATTACACCAAAATTGCAAACATTTTGCATTTAAGATAAAAAAAAAAAAAACTTTTTTGTCCATCAATATGCACTATACACAACTCCTCAAAAGAGAAAGTTTTAATTTCACCTGGTTTAATTTTGTAAAAAAATCTTCTTTAAGGAATCTTTGACTATCCGATAATTAATCGATTCATCGGAAAAAACAATTGACAGATACATCAATTTGCTGATTGTTAGTTGCGGCCCCAAATTGTAAATATAGGGAAGAGAAAACTAAACTTAGTTTTTTTATCAGAAGGTTTGAATTTATAATGAAAGGTTTTGTGGAAAAGGTTCCCTCCTCATCAACCACCTCAGTTGACAGACCATATTTTTTTATCTTTCTTAAACTGCATTAAGGAGCCACAGTATTTCCTTCTAAGGGCCTTATAATGGCCCAAATGCCATAGTTTGATTACCTCAATTGTAAAGTGATTATATTAATAAAGTTCAAAGGCTTTAAATTGCTCTGCAAAACACTGTATGTCTTACCATTCTGTTTATCTGATGTGATGATCCTCTTCCTACCTGCAGGGGACACACTCTTCATCGTCCTGAGGAAACAGAAGCTCATCTTCCTCCACTGGTACCACCACATTACCGTGCTTCTGTACTCCTGGTACTCATACAAGGACATGGTAGCAGGCGGCGGCTGGTTCATGACCATGAACTACTTGGTCCACGCCGTCATGTACTCCTACTACGCCCTGCGGGCGGCCGGCTTCAAGCTGTCGCGCAAGTTTGCCATGTTCATCACGCTAACCCAGATCACCCAGATGCTGATGGGCTGCGTGGTGAACTACCTGGTGTATTCATGGATGCAGCAGGGCCAGGAGTGTCCATCCCACATGCAGAACATTGTGTGGTCCTCATTGATGTACCTCAGCTATTTTGTGCTCTTTGTCCAGTTTTTCTTTGAAGCCTACATCGGAAAGTCCAAATCACCGGCCAAGACTGACGCTAAGAAGAGCGAGTAGAGAAAATACCAAAAGTATGGGTTGAAGGGAAATGATTTATTAAAAGGGATTTGGGAATGAAGAGCAGGGACCAGTGACACGAGAAGGAATTGGGGCGGGAGGAGAAAATGTGTCGTGGTGTTCGGGGGGGGGGGGGGGGGGGGGGGTTTGGGTTGAGGGTTCCTGCTTTATGTGAAGACCTAAAAAAAAATAGGTAATGTCTCCTTTAAGGGATTCTAAGGAAGTAGTCTAACTTGATCAAAAGCCATCATGAGTCATTCACCTGAACTCTTAAAATCTGCCCTTAAGAATTCACATTTAGTACTTTTAAAATCCAAAAATATATATATATATATATATATATATGTATCTAAAAAAAAAAGAAAGAATTCTACATGAAACTTTACAATAGTAAAACCATCAGAGTACTTGATTACATCTCCCAGAAACTTTTTATTTATTAATGACTAAAAATAAAGGGTACACTTAAAGATAGCTGGCATCTTCTTTAATGTCAGCCATCCCCAGTTTTTGTCTGTATGTTGTCTGTGTTTGTCGTTTTGCTTTAATTCAAAGTCGGAGGCGTTTGAGACCCTGGTGAGCAAATGAAGCTGACGTTTCTAGCAGTTGATGTGAAACCATGAGGGGCCCTGATGATTTTCTCAGGCGAACTCGACACAACGTGCATATCAAGATAAAGTAGACATGTTTAACATCTGCTTCAGTTTACAGTGTGGCTGATTTTTCTTCCACAGCAGTTGCTAATAAAAAATACATAAAAAAAACAAAGTGGTAATGACAGAATGAAGCTGGTCTTGCAGACTGAGGCTAGCACAGTGCGCCAGGCTGGGTTGGGAAAGAGATGCTGACTGTGCCCTGCTTCACCTATTGTCTTGACTTTGCAGATTTGTGGAAATGCACTGATTTCCAGACCCCTTCTCTGTATTTCAGGATCCTTGCCAGTGAGGAATACCAGCCTGTTGGACACTGATACCTTAGATGGAGTACAAACATATTTATGTTTAGCAAAAAAATGTATAAAAAATACAACATGCATATTGTCAAAAATCTGCTGTATTGAAAAAAAAAAGTATGTATCCTTAATGGTGTCTGTTGTGCTTTTGTGCATTTGCACTATATCAATGTAAGAAAACGGTTGTTTCTGGAAAAAAACAAAAAACAACCAATGTATGAACAAAGTGTGCAAAAATGTGACACGCTTGAGGTGTTTTCTTTTGTCTGTGCCATCATGGCGTCACACGTACATAACCCTGTTTCTTGGTGCTCAAAGTAAAACAGATGATGAGTTTAAATGTCGTCTGTCCAGTTTCTCTTATCGGAATATTTCAAAAGACCAAAAAGGAGTTATGCCTTTAGCTTTAGGAAGAAGTTTCAGCTCTGTATCTCTGTTGATAAGCTGTAATCCAGAGAGATAGCTGACCGTCATCAGATCAACGTACAAAGGTGTTATAACTGGGTCATTTTAAGGCCTATCCAAAACATGCACATGGTTCTGCTCTGTGACCCTTTCTGCTGAGCAGTAATGATTCCTGCAAAACTGGAGAAAAGGTTTGAACCCTGAATACACTTTAAATCACTTTATCCAAGTCTTGTGACCTTATTGATAAAAAATAAAAAAAACTTTACCAAGTTTTTGAATGTGTATGTTCTTTTTAATCTGCCAGATGGAAATGTTTTTCCTTAACCTACCTAACCGATCCCATGTTTTAATTGTCATATTTCCACCACTATATAGAAGGAATAGGCAAAATAAACCTTTTGTAATGTGTCTATAATTTCTACAGCGTGCACTTCTGATTATTTTGGCATTAAAGCTTTAGATGTAGTCCTTTAAAAAGTTGAAAATAGAAAAGTATTTCTCTGTCTTTCTTGCATGTCTTTGCACTAAGATGCTGCTTTTTTTATAGCCACCTAACCTGAAAGTTTATTTAAATTCCTTTATTCTGTTGAACAAAGGACATGTTATCAGTTTTGATTGCAATCTTTGTTTGCTTGGGGATCTTCTTTTATCATCATGGTGTAAAACACTTTGGTATGTCACCTTGTCTGGGTATCAGGACATCTAAAGAATGTTATGTCCAGTCACTATCTCATTGATAGAACTGCCCACGGCTTATAGAATGTCATATATATATATATATATATATATATATATATATATATA